TGCACCAATATCGGCCAAATATTGGCAAAACAATATTGGGCCAATATCACCAGGCCAATATTGCACCAATATCGGCCAAATATTGGCAAAACAATATTGGGCCAATATCACCAGGCCAATATTGCACCAATATCGGCCAAATATTGGCAAAACAATATTGGGCCAATATCACCAGGCCAATATCGGACCAATATAGGCAGATATTGGTTCAATATAGGCAGATATTGGTCCAATATCGGCCCAATATTGGCAAAACAATATTGGGCCCATATCACCAGGCTGATATTGGCCCAATATCTGCCTATATTGACAGGAGGACAGGACATAACCGAAGTGTGCAATATTGCAACTGGGTATACTTTTTAGAGCAGTATATTGGGACAGGGTGTATTTTAGGGCGCAAAGCGGTTTGCGACAGGGTCAGGTTTTCAAGGTCCCCGAGGCACCCCCTACCCAGTTCCGAAGTGAGTGCCCCTACACCCCCCCCCGGCCAAATACACACGTTACCACGCTGCTAACACATTGATATTTTATTCTACGGCGTATTTTATGCAAGTCATGAAATTGTGTTTTGGGTGAAATCTCGCAGAGGGACGAACGCAATGCTCGCGCGCACGTACACAGACGCGCACACATACTCACGCATGCACGCACACGTGCACGCATGCACGCTGTCCAGGGCGACGAGCGACGTGAGCGCCATTCCTATTTGCATTACAGCATATATACTGCATATAAGCAATAGCTGGAGAATTGTGGCGCGATGCTGCGATGTAGATCGGATTTGACCATGCACATGTACACATGCACGCAGCCATGGACACAAACATACAGCATACCGCCCACGTGTTTTGAATTGTCTGTTGAATTCAAAAGGTATTCAATTATATTTGCATATAATGTATTTTAGCGTCCTATTTCCCGCTAAAATTTTCTAGTCCTGATAATAAATACAATATATAATTCTAGCCCTATTAGTAAGCGCACTCACTCACGCACGCAAGCGCACGCACGCAGCAAAATCAATAACAAAACAATAAGCAATAGATATTTAATTACGTGCGGGATTTTATTCGCATATTTGTAATTACTAAAAAACATGTTACTTATACATTATTACGCATACCGATTAATTCTACCCGTAAATTCTAGCGATCTTTGCCCTAATTAATGATATCTCCGCATTTAAGCTAGTAAGATTATTTTAAAAAAACACATGTGCACATTTTGTAGCTATAATTTTCTTAGCATCATTATGATATGATATTAATTTTATCAATTCTACTTACTAACGAAAGAAAACAAATTAAAGTACTGCCCGCAAAATGATACGATAATTTTGTCATTTGAAAATCACAATGAATTTACCATACAATAGTATATAGATAGATTCGATCTGCTCATCGCAGTATACATAATTCATTACCATTTCATAAGCATATGAACAAGTGGCACTCAATCATATCAGTTCAGTTTATGGAGAAATCCGCCTGTACCCATACATAACAATGTAGATTACTGTTCGCAACATGCATGTATATCGCAAACATAGATGTATGCATAGATTTAACCACACGAATTGTTTAGGCCTTTATAACTGAGCCTTCCATTGCAGCAAATGTGGGTTCGGCTGTTGTACGCAGAAGTATTGCAGCATGCGTTGTTCGAACCTTTATAACTGAGCCTTCCATTGCAGCAAATGTGTGTTCGGCTGTTGTACGCGCCGCATGCTGAAACGAAATAATTAAAATTCTTCTATTACACGCGCCTATACACATACTACACAAATAGCTTTAGCGCGATTATTTAAAATATAACAACATAAAACTATTCTACTGTAGATACATTTGAAGCTACTACGCAATAATGTTGTTCATTGTATTCCATACGACCTTTATGTAGCAAACGATTGTAATTATGCCATAAAATCCTGGTAAGAAAGCGTGTGCGAGTGCGCTTACCCGCTTGCGTGGACGCCGCCAGGGAAACGAGCAGTAGTATCGCCAAGATCACTCTCTTCATTTCGTTGTAGGAAATAAGGACGCTGAAAATATATCTTATGTAAACATTATAGAAACATACATCTAATAGTATCGTAATATATCATATGTAAACATTATAGAAGCATACATCTAATAGTATCGTAGCTCAAAATACCTGTAGCTGTACGTTGTGCGATTGTGCCCTAGAGAGTGTGCTTGCGCGCGTACATGAGTGAGCGCGCGTTTATTAGTTCGTTCATTCGTTTGTTCGTTCGTTCGTTCGTTCGTTCGTTCGTTCTTTCTTTCGTTCGTTCGTTCATTCGTTCGTTCATTTGTTTGTTTGGTTGTTCGTTTGTTCGTTCGTTCGTTCGTTCGTTCGTTCGTTCGTTCGTTCGTTCGTTCGTTCGTTCGTTCGTTCGCGATCGTTAAAATCTGTTCGTTGGTGTCGGGCTTTACGTTCTTGCGAGCGTGGTGCTGCTGTGTCGATGAGCGCGTGTTTTGTATGTGTGTTATTGTGTGTGTGTGTGTGTGTGGGTGTTGGTGTTGATGTGTGTGGTGTGTGTGTTGCGTGTGAGTGCGTGAGCATGTGCGCGTCGCTGCGCTTGGGTAGCACTAATTAAAATTCATGGCTTACCTTGATGATGTCTGTCGCAGAGGAAGGTATCTGTAGCTCGGCACCGTGGTAGTGAGCGTGTACTGCTGCTATACAGCTTCACGAGGTACCTTATATCATCATCACCTTAATAAAATCAAGTCCTGTTGATGTCCAGCCCTAAGTGTTTATCTTTGTATCGATGCTACTCTATGTGTGCAATTTGACGCATGCCGCGAGCGGACTCCGGTAATGAAAAATAAAGCAGCGTGGAATGATTGGACTAGAAACAGGTGTTATAATCTTCGCAGTTTCAATTATTGGTTTATGATATCATCACATCAACAAACAAATAAGAACATTACATGGCGCGAGAGTCAAAACGACACTAAGAAGCACGTATCTCTCTCTTTTCCTTTTCCATTTTCCTCT